AAGAATGTCACGTGCAAAACTCGTGATCATATTATGACTCTTTTATTTATTTATTTATTAGGGGTTGTGTTTCTTTATAAATCAAGTTTTTTTTTCATAAATTATCATATATATCGAGTCTCCCATGTGATGTTCTTGAAACTTAGTAAACTTACACAATGTACGAAAGTAAGAATGCTCCATTTCTGATGCAGTAGAATGAATATAACGAGATCTTATTGGTATTATGGAAATATAAGAAATGACTACTTATATATAAATCTTCCTACATTTGTTTCGATAATCGGTAAAGTAATTATTTTTCTCACTACAACAAATAGGAGATTAGACGACGCCTATTTAACGACATTTTTAGAAAACCGTCATCTAATGTGCTAAAAAAATGTGGTATTAACACGAAAATCTGTACGAGCATTTTAGACGATGATTTTTAAAAAATCGTCTTCTAATGTGTCACATTAGACAAAAGTTTCTAGAAATCGTCGTCTAATATGTTACATTAGACGACGGTTTTTTAAAAAACTGTCGTCTAATATAAAAAAAAAAAAAAAACTTTTAAAAAAAGGTAGGCTTTTTTTCACTCATTTTTTTCCGAAAATTTTTAAAGTTTTGATAGCTCATCTATAACTTTAAGCATTCTCTTACATACTCTAAGTTTGTTATCTCAAATCTCTCCATTTCTCCAAAGCTCTCTCTCCCTTCCTCACACCCTAACTCTCTCTCTAACTCTCCTCTCAACACTTCAAACTTTTTTCTCAAATCTCATCTCTTCTACACTCCTCACTCCTATTACTATCCGTACTCCTCACTCCTTCAACTTAGCCGCTGCCTCCAAGAGCCTCACAATCATGCTCATACATCGCCGACCGTCATGACCTCACCTCCATATCCGTCTCTACACTATGACCATCGAAATGAGTACTTTGTTAATCTTTAGAAATTTCTTTTCTTTGAGATTAGTGTTGTTTTTGTTTGGATTTAATGTTTTCTTTGAAATAATTAGGTATTTTTATTATTAGATTTCATAGAGAGACTTTTGGTTTTGAAATATTTGTGTTATATATATATATATTGATTATGTGTGAGAAGGTGAATTTGTAACATGTTTTTTTGAATTTTTTTCATATGTGTTGTTCAATGACTTGTGATAACATTCGAAGAAATAATTTTTTGGAGCAAAAAATTATTTTTCGGCAAAAATATATATATTTTAATTTTTTAGTACTTTCAACGACAGTTTTTGTAAAAACCGTCGTTAAAAGTTGATATTAGATGACGGTTTTTCAAAAAAAAAAACTATTGTCTAATGTGTCTTTTTAAATTCTTATGGTGTCTCACGCGGTATTAGACGACGGTTAAAAATCGTCGTCATATCTCTTGGATATTTAACGACTGTGGATACGATTTTTAACCGTCGTCTTATCTCTTATTTGTTCTAGTGTCTCCATTTCATTCATAGTATAAGTGTGTAGGATTCGCGTTTTATATAATAGTATATAAGTCAAATATTTATGTATGTCAAAATCTAAAAAGTCACTCTAAAAATTTCTAAATGTTAAGCTCAAAAAGTGATAAAAAGAGGGTTCATCTATACACAATTAGAATATGTGTATGTATATTCAAAAAGTGATTTAACAAAATATTTAACTTGGTTCTATTATTAGGGTTAGATTTTATATTATAGGCTCTCACATTATCGGAAACAAAATGAGAGTAGTTTACGAAGAGTCCTATAGTCAACACGACACAAGGGACAACCTGGTGGGCACAAGTAGATTAGTACTTAATTTAAGTTTCTTGGATCTTATCAAATGAAGTCTATTTGGTTTATTTGTTTTAGTATTTCTCTTACGATTTATTTAAACAGGGTTAGATTTTATATTATAGGCTCTCACATTATCGGGAACAAAATGAGAGTAGTTTACGAAGAGCCCTATGGTCAACACGACACAAGGGACAGCCTGGCGGGCACAAGTAGATTAGTACTTAATTTAAGTTTCTTGGATCTTATCAAATGAAGTCTATTTGGTTTATTTGTTTTAGTATTTCTCTTACGATTTATTTAAACATAAATTGCTAATCTTTATGTTTGACAAAGAATGTTTGTCCATCCACAAGATACTCAATTCACAACAAATACTTTTATTATTTCAGAGTACTCGATTCAACGATACTACATGTTTCTAATTTAAGAGGCTCGTTTCCAAGACTTCCAAACTACACAATCCATTTGCATACACCAACTCGAATGTGGAAAAGCAGGCATCTTGTAGACACTCACAGAAATTCCACTTGAACATAATCTAGAGCCCGTTTGGTTGGAAAATTCGTTTTCTGATTCGAATAATGATTCATGGTTCACTACAGTATTTTTTCTCACAAAAAATACACGTAAATCGAAAATGATTCTAATCTCATATCTTTAATCCATAAACCAAACGGGCTCTTAGAGTCTAAACTAACTCCTCAATTAGGAGAAATGGTGGAATGTCGTTCAAGGTTGATTTTACAGAGAAAGTAATCTATTTAGAAGAGGTTCTCAATTCGAAAGTCCAAAGTAATACACATCTAATTTTTTATCTTTTGAGCTATTACTTTTTATAATAATCTTGTGATTATTCTCTCTATCTTTGTAAGAGGACAATTTTAATGCTTCTAAAACTCTCAAAAGGAGAGACTTGCATGTGTTAAGGTTGTGAGCAAGTTCCAACATGTGCATAAATTGAAGTAAACATTTTATTTGTCTCACAAAATAAACTACTCAGATAATAACTCATAGATGATGACGGTGTTTTATCTTTTGAAGACTTTGCAGTTGGTTTATCGATAAATTATGTGTGTTCTGTTATGTTATAGAGTTTAATTAATTGTCTTGATTATTTATTACCTTACGTAGAGATTTCGTGAATAATAAAAAAATAAAAACACAAAAGTTGAGTTTTTATTTTGAAAAATTATAATGGCTGAAACAAGACGTAGAATTAAAGCGTCTAATACTTAACATGTTCTTTGTTTACGAGTATGTGTGTGTCTATTTATCTAACATGCATGACTCTTATGGAAGTCACGTGCTGGTATTTTCTTACTTCTTTTTCTTCCCTTTTTTAAAATTTTCCTCTTTTTCTTTTCTTCAACTTTTTATTTATTTTTCTTCTATACTTTTACCTATTGTTTTTTTCTTTTTTTTTTCCCTAAAATTCTTTGTCAATTCTTTTTTATGAAAATATTTTTCTTTAAAATACTTTTTTTAAATAAAAATATTTCCTTTCGAATATGATTCTACTTAAGTTTTTTCCCCTCAAAACTCCTATGTATCTTTTATTTTTTTGAATTTTTTTTGAAATTTTCTTTTTTTTCTCTCTCTCTTTTTTAACTTTTTTTGTTTTCATTTTTTTCTTCATTTCTTTTGCATATTATCTTTTTTGCTTTTCCCCTAATATTCTTTGTCAATTCCTTTTTTTAGTAATATCCTTTTCTAAAATACTTTAATTTCTTTTTCTCACTCTCTTTTAATTAAAATAATTCATTTCATATATGCCCCTACTTAATTGTTTGTTTAAATTAATTTTTTTCTCTTACTTTAATTAATGGACTTGTTTTCTAAAAAAAAAAAAATCACATATTATAACGTATAATCAAATTTACAAAATTATTCTTTAACACATAGATAGCTTGTATGTATATAAATTCCACCTAATGTTTACCACAAATTTTTTCCCTCAGAAGGGGATTTTTTTTTTTTTTTTTTTGAAGTAAGAAATGAAGTGCTTTGCCTGAAGAATGCTTTGCCTCCAAAAATCAGAATTAGGAAAAAAAAAAAAAAAAAAAAAAAAAAAAAAAAAAAAAAAAAAAACACCAACCAGAAATAACCAGAGAAGGATTGCTCTGTACTCCACACAACAACAATGGCCAAAACTATTCCAATCTCATACCTCATATAAACGAACCAACAATAACCACAAAAACGGCAACTTTTTTCTTCTCTACCAGTCTTCCATGGCCACTCTCTGTCACTTCCCAAGCTTCCCTTCGCTTCCTGCGCGCAAGCTCTTCTGTTCGAACCGCCATAACCGCCAAGAACTCAAGCTCGGGTGGCAGCAGAACGCGCCGCACAAACGCTTCAGATTTCGCGCTTCTTCGATCAAGAAATCCAGGTTCTTTTTTTGCTTTTCTTTTCTTTTGTTGTTGTGTTTGAAGGTTTCGATTTGATTTTCGTCGAGAAAAAAGGTTGATTCTTGGATTTGGATTCAGGAAAGTGAAGACCAATGCGGAGCTCTGCGAAGACATTCGCGAGTTCGTTGCGGCGGTTGGACTTCCGGAGGGTCGCTTGCCCACCATGAAGGAGTTTTCGCTGCACGGAAGGTTCTAGAAATTTCCTCGCTTATAAAATTGAGAACTTTTTTTGTAATTTTTTCGTCCCAAGCTGTTAAAAGTTAGAAACTTTTTCCCAATAGTGAGTCCAAACCTGGAATCCTAAGCCTAGTTTATTGATTTTTTTGTTCATTAATATACTGTTTCAACAAATTTATTAACTGTGCAAAATAATTGATCCAAACCTCGAATCTTAAGCATAGTTTATTAATTTTTCTCTAATGTTACTGCTCAAGCAAGTTTAATAATTTGGCTTAATTGTGAAATATTGGCTTGCGAGTATGGAAAATGGAAGCCATTTATTTATTTACTTTTTTTTTTAATTTTTTTTAGGAGTGACCTTGCATATAGTGTCAGAAGGAGAGGATATAAACGTATTGGAGAGATTCTCGGAAGCACAAAAGAAACAGATTTAGATGGATCCAATGTGGAGAAGGTTGTAAGTGAAGATAATTATGCATTAGGTGATAGTGAAGATAAGGTAAAAAGGTCAATATGCGTTTCTATTTAATGTGGATTCATTTCTTTATTTATTTTTAAATGTTGAAAGCATATGCAACTGTTGTTGATAGTGTGCTACAATTAAAAAAGGTCAGGATGAGGAGCCCAACATCGTGGTTGGTGATTTTCCTTCATCGACTGGAGTTTCTGTCATGGGCGACAGCTCTCATAGTTTGGTTATGGATTCAGAAGTCAAGTTGGATGATGATAATCATGTGCTGGTAGAAGCTTCGGCTGATTTGCCCTTGCGAGAAACAGCCTCGTATGATTTAGAAGGTCAGAATGAGAATGGTTTCATTGTGGGTGAAAATAGCTTCTCGGAAACTGAAGATTCCAGTACGGAATATGATTCGTGTCGTTCGGAAGATCCAACTTTCGATTCTGGAAACCATAGCCAAAGGCCTTTGGAAACTTCAACCAACGCATCCTTGGGGGAAAATGGTTTAAATGGTGGAGATGAGATGGTGAACATAGCTATAGAATCTGCTGAAGGTTTGCTTGCTAAGGGAGAAACTGAGGAAAACGGTTTAAATGGTGGTGATGAGATGGTGAACGTAGCTTTAGAATCTGCTGATGATTTGCTCATTGAGGGAGAAACCTGGGAAAAGGGTTTAAATAGTGGGGATGAGATAGTGGACATAGCTATAGAATCTTCTGATGATTTTCTTGTTGCGGGAGAGACCTCGCAAAATTTTCAGTTCGAGGATAACAATGTGGCCACAGAGGATACCTCATCAGCTGAAGTATTCATTATAGAAAATGACTACAAGAGTTCGAATATTGATTCAGCTCTCAGTTCCAATGATGATAGTTCTGTGCCCATAGAACTTTCATCTTTGTCATTGGAGGAAAGAGTGGCAAATTTTATGCAGTATGGACACCTAGATACAGTTGAAGGTTAGTTTCCTGAAGTAACATTTAAATTGAGATTTAGCTAGATGGGTCTCCATGTTCCTGATTAGTCCCAGTTGATATTTACATATCCTATCGACTTTTAATTATGATTCTTTCCCTTGTTGAGTTTTAAGATTTAAAGGAGTTACATAAGGTGGAGAATTCTGCATAGCACCTTTATTATAATCTGATCTATGAGAACTGAAGTTTAAGTTCTGCTTGACTATCAAATAATTCTTAAATTCAATTGGTGGATGCAGAGGATCAATTTGTGACTTATACTTCAGAGCACTCAGAGAAAGTGCCTAATGGAGGTAATGGTGCTATCACGTCGAATGAAAGTGCAGAAAAGTCTTTGCAACTTGTCCCTTCTACGACAGGAAACAGTCCTTTTAGGTAGGTTTATCAGTCCCAACTTAACAAAGCAGTAGTTGTTAGTACATGCCAGTGTTTTCTTGAAATTTGAGCCATATACAGGGACGATGATTTATCAGCTGAAAGACAAAGTGCTCAATTCAGCAAAAATCTAGATGTTAAGGTGATTGTGCTTACGTTTCCATTAGTATTAAATTTTTGAGTAGTTATTTGCTGATGTTGTATCCTAACATGCATCTATAATGGTACAGACAAGCAAAAGGGAGAACCGAGTTGAGATTAGTCATCTGAAGTTCATGCTGGTAAAGATCTTTGTGTATCTTTGGGGTCTAATTCTATTGAAGTTCCGCTTGTCTATTAGAGTGTATTGTATTAACTAAATGACTCTGCATTTGTTGGTTAGCATCAGAAGGAGTTGGAGCTATCTCGGTTGAAAGAACAGATTGAGAAAGAAAAGGTATATAAGTTATTCTTGTTGACAACCACATTTTGAACTTGTAACATGTGATTTTTCTTTAACAAAGGCAGAATATGAGCAAATCAACATTGTATATCAGTGACTAGAACCTATTCTGCGTTCTGGGATCTCTATTTCTCTTTCTCTCGGCTACTCACAGGAAGAAGACTTCTTTATATTTAACATGATGTATCGGCAGTTGCATTATACAAAGTTCAGTTTCACATAAGCTTTCACAATTATTATGAGTATTAACGGGATTTTTAGGAAAATTGCCAAAAGGAAACTTGGAAACTTACATTTTGATATATGCCATAAATGAACACAACTTGAACATGTAATTGCTACAGTTAACAAATGCTCCTTTAACATGTTTATTATTTTATGTCTTCAAGTTGCGTTTTCTTTCCTTTTCTCCCCGCTCCTCTTGCCACTAATAACCAGGTGGTTTTGCATTGTACTTGTGCCTTCAGCATGACTTGTCAGTTTTGCAAGCCAATGCTCAGTCAGAAATCAGCAAAGCACAACAACTTATCTCAGAAAAAGATGCAGAGTTACATGCTGCTGAGGAAACCCTTTCAGGACTAGTGGAGGTATAACCTTTGCCTTCGTGCTGAACGTATCATGTGTGGAAGTAGTATATGCACACATAGATTGCAAGTAGTATAACCTGATGTTCACTTTTCAGGTTCATATTCAATACCACGGGGATGGTGATATTGTGGAGGTTGCTGGTAGCTTTAATGGCTGGCATCATTGGATCAAAATGGATCCGCAACCATCATCAAGCATCATAGATTCTGTTGGACCCAGGTCTTAACTCTAAATGTCTCCTTTCTTGTGAAATAATCTCTGTTAGCCATCACACTTTATTTTAATGCTCCATACATTGCCTTTATGAGTTTGTCTTTGAAAATAGAGACAACTAGTTCACAAGCTCCAAACATGCTCAAAAGATAGACAACTACACTGTTGTGAAGCTTGGCCACATTTGTTTATGACCTCTTTTTCCACACTTTCATTATATTTCCTATTTGACATGGACTACTTTTCCGTGTTTAGCTACTTGGAACTATGTTTTGTGACCTTCTTTTGTGCAGTTTCATCCATTTCATATTTGGCATGGACTATTTTCTTGCTCTCGTGTTTAGCTACTTGATTTAAACAGGGTCTCACTGTAATAACATTTTTTTTTCCTCCAGGAAATCCAAAATTTGGTCAACTGTGCTGTGGCTTTATCCTGGGGTATACGAGGTCTGCATAACCCCCACTTAATTCCAATATATATTTGCTTGTAGTCCTAATATTGATTCTTAGACAGTGCACTCACGGCCAACGGAGTTAACTTGAGCAATCTGTTAGGTACTTAGTAGTTCGTAATTAGTAGTTATTTAAAGAGCATTTATCGACTAGAGGGTCATTATTAGCAATTTGTTAGTATAAAACGGGTTAGCAATGATTGGGGGCTTATGTCTTGAGTATGGATGATTTTGGAATTGGTTTGAGGCTTGGGAAACCAAGATTAGAGAGAGTGGTGGTCTTTCGAATACCACCGAGTTAGTTAGGTTTTTGTTGTAATTCATCAATTCTCTTCAATGAAAGATTAGCTTTGTTAGTTCATCATCTTTGATTTGGATTGGGTTCCTATCACAATCCTGCAGTGTCTGTATATTTTTCTAAGCTTGTGACATCTATGGATTAAATGAGATGAGAATGGAAGAAATGAGCACTCACAATTATCAAATAAGAAAGGCGTAACTTTCTTAAAGTTTTTGACAAATGGTTAACTGTCTATTAGTGCTGCTATGTATTGCAGCATACAGATGCGGAGGCCTCAAATGAATTATGTACATTTTTATGATGAATTTTAAGCATTCAGAGGCGTTCTTATGAGAAAAGAACAAAAACTTCTATAAGAAATTTGTGTTTCTTATGTTTGTTACTTCTATTTTTTTTTTGTAGATAAAGTTCATTGTTGATGGCGAGTGGAAGATTGATCCACAGAGAGAATCAGTAACCCGTGGCTACATATGTAACAACATTCTCCGAGTTGACAGATGAATAATTTTGGCAAGGTGGAACCATAGCAATAAGTCTAGCATGGAGGTAATTGAGTATTTGCTTCTTACGGTCAACTTTTGGTCATTCTAAATTGGGATATTCTTGGCCTGTCATACTCACTTGAACTTGAGCTATCTTGTTTAGTCTCAGAAATAAAGTTTTAAAAGTCAGAAGGACCAGTTTGACAATAAAGTAATGCCAGGCCTGCCAACACGGCAACTGCATTTTAGTTTTGTAAAAATTTCTCTGTTTTTTTTTTTTTTTTTTTTTTTTTTTTTTTTTTTACTTTTGAATCCTTGTTCTGCTGTAAAAAATAAGAAACCAATAGACTGTAGTTTCATCATGAGTTTTGCATCAATCTGTTCTTTTCTGAAGGTTGGCCATCAATGTGAACCTTTCGTTAAAATTCAGATCTTATATTCTTTTTCTAGACTGGCATATTTGGTGGATGGTAGGGTACGTAACACCATTGCTTAATAAATTCTCACTTGTTTAGGTTCCGGAGCACAAATAATGAAAGCAGTAAAAGAGTCTTCTTTTTAGTGGAAGGTGTCAAGGTTTAAGGGAGACATGAAGCATACAAGACCGCGCAGATTATGGATCAAGAAGCGACGAGATTTAGCCTGTGAATGGTCGCCTTTGGTTTGTTCCTGCTCAGACAACGATATTATCAACCTTACTGGTTAAAGCTGGCTTGTATGGCCGCGTATGACCTCCTAATGAAGAAGACATTTAACCGGCTACCCTTGTACATAAATAAGGTTGAAAACTCCTTGCGATTAGCTTTCTCACTAGCAATGAAATTTTTTTGGGTAGTAGTAGTAGCAGGTTATAGACTGTTGTTAAGAGCATGTAAATGTCCTTTACTACCAATCAATAAAAACATAGTTTTGATCAGATGTCCTTATGAAGCTACTATTTGTGCTTGGTTTGTATTGATATCATCGCCCGGCCAAAAGGTTAAACCCAATAGACGGTAAAAGTTCTACTTACAGTCTTGGACTCTGTTAGAAATACGGCCAAGCGTGATATAATTTGTTGTAGGGTAAAACTCTGAACCTTAAATTAAATTTTGACTAGAGCCCGCAAGTCATAAAGAAGAGCATTATATGAATAAGGACAGCTCAGTTTTAAGAGTCACGTCAGTCAGCAGACAATCTTTTTAAGAGTCGATTGTAACAAGCAAGCATCTGATATGGATAAGAGGTCGACCGTTGTGAGAAGGGGACATGAGGTCGACCTCACTCACAGGTAATAACGAAGAGGTTGAAGAAAGCGCCTAGAGAGTCGAAGTTATGCAAAAATAAGGATTTGAAAGATTCCGCAGGTCATAAAGAGGAGCATTAAATGAATAAGGACAGCCCAATCTTAAGAGCCACGTCAGCAGATAGCATTCTTAGGAGTCGCCGGTAACAAGAAAGCATCTGATATGGATAAGAGGTCGAACTTTGTGAGAAGGGGACATGAGGTCGACCTCACTCACAGGTGATAACGAAGTTAAAGAAAGCGCCTAGAGAGTCGAAGCTATGCAAAGATAAAGATTTGAAAGATTCTATATGAGATTCACTATTTGTAATCTAAAAATATGAAATTTAAATAAGGAAACCACAATAATTGATTGTGATCTGTATCTTTTGGAAAACTATCTCAAAAGATAAGAGAAATATCCTCAAATTTGAATAGAGAAATAGACAGGAGTAGTGACCTAAGGTATAAATAAGGGATTATAAGTCAAAAAATCCTTAAGTCTCATTCTGAGTATTAATGCGTGTATTCTCTTCCAAAGTAATGAATTTTCTCTACGTCCTACAGTAGACGTAATTCTTGAATCGAGGATAAAATACTATAAATTTTGTATTCGTACTTTAATTTTACTTTTAATTGTGATTCAAATCATTAAATTCGCGTTAACCATTTAAAAATTTATTATGATTCTATTGACGAATTTTCACCATCAATAGAATTGTCTAGACAAATCAGTGGGCCAGAGCATGAAAACCTTGGCTCTACATATTTTATCTGGCTTCCTTTATGGTGCATCCTAAAATTATGACTCATTAGTGGAGCAAGTGTTTCTACTATTGGATTAATTTTTTACCTGTCAAATCTTCAGTAGAAATAATTTTATGTGTCACACTATAAATTTTTAATATAAAGTTATAATAAATCCGACTGTTAAAAATCTAATAGTCAAAACCACATGCTATTTTATCCCAATATAACATCTCTAAAACTTCTGTGGGAAAAGTGCCCACTGTCCATTGGCCTATATCATGAGCTTTTTATAGAATGGGGACCCATAGGAAAAAAGTCAGTGGTTAAGTTTTCGATCAAACCGCTGATGGGCCCCATTTCAACACCAAAAGTTGTCTTCATTCCCGTGGCGGTTGTAGGGCACGAAGAGAGCTTCGATCTAACTCCCGATGGGCCCCATTAGGACACCAAAAGTTTTCGCCGAAAACGTGGCAGCTGTAGATCGCGAAGAGATA